CCAAGGTCAAACGGTAGAAGCATATGGCACAAGGAGGGGGAAACAGGTCTGGGGAAGGGAAGAGAACCCACATATTTGAAGCCCGTCCTATGTTCCTGTGCTAAAAGCTTTGAAGATGTTACTTTACTAAATCCTCATAACACCCCTGGGAGGTAGGAATTTTAAAAACAATGACACTGGTGTGTAAGATTTACAAAACCAATAAAGGTAAAATTTCAAAGCAGGGGGGGAAAGAAGAGATTATTCAATAAATGATTTAGCACAGGATTGGCTATGTATGTGGAAACTATCAAGTTGGATTCTTTACCACATGGCGTATGAGAATACACATGGTGTATAAAGAGTTATCACTGAAGATCACTGAGTGAATATTAATACAAATTTGGGGCAGGGAAGGTCTTTCTCAGCATAACACAGAAGGTATAAACCATAAAAAAAATACCAAGAGAAGGAGACTGAGGTGGGAAAATCCCTTGAGTCCAGGAGTTCAAGTCCAGCCTGAGCAACACAGTGAGACTCCATCTCTGAAAAAAAAATTTAAGTGTCAAGTGTGTTAAAAATAAATAAAGTGAAAATAAAAGTAAAAAACTGGGAAAAATATTTCCAACATGTTAGCAAACAGAAATATAGATTCATCATGGAAATAGACAACTCACATAGGAAGAAATATAAGTGGGCCAATGTATGTGTCCAAAAAAGTTCAATTTCCCCAGTAACCAGAGATATGTGAATTAAATTGAATGGAGGAACCACTTTATTTATTTATTTTTATTTTTAGACAGAGTCTCGCTTTGTTGCTAGAGTGCCGTGGTGTCAGCCTAGCTCACAGTAACCTCAAATTCCTGGGCTCAAGCGATTCTCCTGCCTCAGCCTCCCAAGTTGCTGGGACTATAGGCATGAGCCACTACAGGCGCACCACGCCTGACTAATTTTTTGTTTCTACTTTTAGTTGACTGGGTAATTTTTTTTTCTATTTTTAGTAGAGACAAAGTCTTGCTCTTGCTCAAGCTGGCCTCGAACACCTGACATCAAGTAATCTTCCTGCCTCGGCCTCCCAGAGTGCTAGGATTACAAGCGTGAGCCACTGCTGGCCACAGCGTGCCTGGCCTGAGGCACCACTTTAAATCTACCATATTATCAAATGTCCATTTTAATAAAATGATCATGTCATGGGTGTCATGGGAGAATGCAGTTTCCGCCAAAGTTGGAAACTGCCATTTTGAAGGTTATAAGCAGCTTTTTTTTTTTGAGACAGAGTCTCACTTTGCTGCCCAGGCTAGAGTGAGTGCCGTGGCATCAGCCTAGCTCACAGCAACCTCAAACTCCTGGGCTCAAGCGATCCTGCTGCCTCAGCCTCCCGAGTAGCTGGGACTACAGGCATGCGCCACCATGCCCAGCTAATATTTTGTATACATATTTTTAGTTGGTGGATTAATTTCTTTTCATTTTTTTTAGTAGAGACGAGGTCTCGCTCAGGCTGATTTCGAACTCCTGACCTCGAGCAATCCACCCTCCTCGGCCTCTCAGAGTGCCAGGATTACAGGCATGAACCACCACGCCCTGGCCTAGGCAGCTTTCACATTCAAGGGCAGGAGAAGGAATTTGTTTTCAGAGAAGACACTCCCTTTGTTCCTAGAAAGGCAACCTCGGTGGGCCCTCCTGGTCAGGCAGCTGTGGGGAAGGATTACTTGAGCCCAGGAGTTTGAGGTTGCAGTGAGCTACGATGATGCCACTGCACTCTAGCCCGGGGCCCAGGGGACAGAACAATACCCTGTCAAAAAAAAAAAAAAAAAAGAAAGAAAGAACAAATTATAATATTCAGTGTAAAAAAAGGGTGAAAATAATATTTACAGTGATATCTACTTTTATTAAAAGAAAGTATGGATTATACATATAATTACATATATGAGCATACTATACCAAAATTGGATATTTACCCAATGTTAATGATAGCACATGTAGGTGATTGTGGATTAAGGTGATTTAACATTTTCCCCTGCTCTTGTCTTTTCTTTTCTGCATTAAACATATATAAATTTATGAAGACATAAAACCACATTAAAGGCCAGGCGAGGTGGCTCACGCCTGTAGATCCTTAGCACTCCTGGGAGCCAAGGCGGCAGATCGCTCAGGTCAGGAGTTCGAAACCAGCCTGAGCAAGCAAGACCTCATCTCTACTATAAATAGAAAGAAATAATTGGCCAACTAATATTATAGGAAAAAAATTAGCCGGGCAGTGGTGCATGCCTATTAGTCCCAGCTACTCAGGAGGCTGAGCAACAGGATTGCTTGAGCCCAGGAGGTTTGAGGTTACTGTGAGCTAGGATGACGCCACAGCACTCACTCTAGCCTGAGCAACAAAGCGAGACTCTGTCTCAAAAAAAAAAAAAACCACATTAAAATTTTTAAATCAGTTTTTCTGGGTTTTTAGAGACGGGGTATTGAACTCTTGGCCTCAAGCTATCATTCCACTTCAGCCTCCCAAAGTTCTGGGACTACAGGCAGTCACCACCACGCCTGCTAATTTTTTGTTTGTGTTTTTAGTTGGCCAGCTAATTTTTTCTATTTTTAGTAGAGACAGGGGTCTCACTCTTGCTCAGGCTGGTCTTGAACTCCTGCCCTCAAGTAATCTTTCCACTTCACGCCTCCCGAGGAGAGCTGTAGATTACAGGCCCACGCGTGGAGGCACGCCCACGACCACCGAAATTCAATAGTTTTTAAATGCATGAATGACTCTTCATTGCTGAGCTGTTTATAACAGCACCCACCTGAAAGCAAGTCGACTAACTAACCATCTGAAAATGATGGTATATCCAGCCAAAGAATTATGAAGCATCCATTAAAATCATTAATACAAAGACAACTCAGTCAGGAGGCAAAATGCTTATGATCAAGAGAAAAACAGAGAAGCAAAGAGCCGGGTCCAAGGTGGTTCCTGCACTCTCATTTGGCAACCTGGCCGACACATCTGCCTGGGTTCCCCACCAGAACAGAGAGGGCAAAATGGGAGGTGAGAATGACGATGAGGGATGAAGCACAAATATCTTTTTCTCCCTTCACAATAGTCTTCAGTGTCCCTACATCATCTTGTCACGCTGGTATCTGCAAACCAGACTTGCCGCAGTGGCTATTTGTGAAGGCAAACAAAGGACTGATCAGAATCTCCGACTGTGTGGGGACTGGGGGAGGCGTGGGGGGGCCTCACTGCAGACCTTATGACAAAGGAGGTGTCAACCTTCCCCGCAATGCCCTTCTCAGTTCTCAAAAGCTGGCCCAAAGCACTGCGTGGCTGTTTATTCTGTCTGGTGTCTGGAAAGGCCATGGTGCAGTTATCTGAGGTTCTGGGTCACATGTGCATTTCAGCACATTGGGGACTCTTGTCCACACCAGGCGGCACCCCCATCTGGGCGCACGTGATACAGCCTGAAGCCGGCTCTGGCTGTTTAAACGTTATCAAGGCCAGTCGTTGCAGCATCTTGTTTCCTCTGCAGAAGCATGTCTTGAATTGATTGTAAACCCCGATGTGACACAGACAGTTGTCCTGGGGAAAACAGGATCCATTTTTCAGCTTGGTTTCCAGGAACACGAACCCGAAAGGAGAAGGGGCCTGTGTACTTCCTTGTATCCATCCCCCTGCCCCTGGAAGCTCAGTGCCCTGCAAACGGGAGGCACTGACGTAGTGCTTGTTCTCACAAGTGCCGTGCCAAGCCTAGTGTTCCCTTCTTCCTCCCTGGAGAAACAGACGCCCTGGAATTTTCCACGTTTTCATTCCAGCTCCCCTCTAAATTGCTTGGGGACCTTGGGTTGGCTGTGCCTCAGTTTCCTCATTTATCAATGTGTCTCTTATTCTGTCTCTTTAACCAATCTGATGTTGCAAATATTTGCTGAGCAGCTTCTTTGGAGCCTGTGTGGAAACCCAGAGTTGAATTGCCATAGATCCTGCCCTTGGGAAGTTCGCTGCAAATAATATGAATGATTTTAAATGATGAAAAGTGACTGAGGGAGTCATTCTTGGGGTGAGAATCAAGAAAATGGAAATTTTCTTGAGAAGGGATTTTGTTAGACAGGAGCTTTAAAGATTGAGTAGAAGTTCAAGAGTAATCAAGTGTGGGAAAGGCTTCGGCCAGAGGGGATGATTTGTCCAAAGGTGGAGGCAGAAAGCTACGTGGCTGTCTGGGAAACTACAAGCAGTTACCTGGAGGCCAAGCTGTGAAGGGACATGGAGGGTCTGCTTACCTCACAGGGGTGCCAGGGCAGCCCCCTGTTCAAACCCTGACATCTATTTGGTGGGTGACTCGCTGAATTGGAGTTTCCTGCTTTATAAATGGATGATTAGGATACCTACCTCACAAGGTTAGAGTGAAAAATACAAAGTGTATGGATGAAAAACATCCAGCAAGTGCCTGATATATAGTGGGTGCTCTACGTGTATTATCTTTAAAAAACTTAAATTGTAATCTGAATGTAACAACATCAGTTCCGCACCCAGCTTAGATCTTTCCACTATTCTCACGTAATCTTTGCAGCCATCTGCTAAGCAGCTTGTCGTCCCCACTTTACAGGGAAGGACACTGAGGCTCAAGGGAGAGGAAATGGCTTGTCCAAGGTCGCACATGTGACAGGACATGGAGCTGGGATTAGGTGGAGGTGGGTTGGCTTCCAGTCTTCTTTCCAGACTCAACAGACAAGCCACCTGGCCCCTCCCAGCCCCTTCATGGCGGAGACTGCTCACAGCCTCCTGGGATCCATTTTCCAACCCTTCTTTAGCAACAAAACCTGTTTATAGTTGGGCACACTGAAAGGCAGGCTGGAGAAAGTGCACAAAGATGTGCGAGGGGCAGTCAGGTCAGGACCACGAAAGCGCTTTGCACCTTTCTTCTAAGTCGGACTAGAGCACGGTGGACGAGCGCGCCTGCGCACAAGTTCCACTATGGCCCCATCCCTCTCTGGCCGAGGGGTGGCGCTAGGCGCATGCTCCCTGGCCCGCGGTCCTCCACGCCTCCTTCAAGCCGCTCTATGCCGCCCTTCTCGCTGCTCTGTCGGGAGGCGGGCGCGCCCGCACGGGTCCCTCCAAGATGGCGGCGCAGAGGAGGAGCCTGCTGCAGAGTGTGAGGAACCGGCCCGCTCTCCGGGCTAGGGGTTGGGAGCCTGGTGGGGTGGCTGTCGGGTGCCGGAACGGCTCCCTCTCCGCTTTTGGACCGCCTCCTTCTCCATGGCGGGGTGTGACCGCCGCCCTCCCCTCTCGGGCTAGCCCCTCACTCCCCAGGCCGGGGCGCCGGGGCGCCGGGCACGCACGAGTCTCGCGGCCGGTTTGGCCCGTGGGCCTGCGCGTGCGCGTTGCTGGCCCGGCCCCCGGGGGCCGAGGGGTCGGGGCCGGGGTCGCCGGCTGCCAGGCCGGCGCTCCGGACAGGCGCTGAGGGTGGGAGTCTCCTGCAGCCAGAGGGAACGGGGCGCGGCGGCGGAGCCAGCTAGGGTCGCGAGCCCACGGCGGGGCCGAGCAGTCGTGCAATGATGATAACAATGGCAACATCCACTTGTGTATCGCTTACTGTATCCCAGGCATTGTACTAATTGCTTTACATTTGTAAATTTAATTTTCATAACAGCCCCATGACATAGGCACTATAGTTATTCCTATTTTTACAAACTGAGGCACTGAGAGATGGTCATTTGCCCAAGGCCACACAACTGGTGAGTGTCAGAGGCAGGATTAAAATCGGGCGATCTGATTCTGGGACTCTCCTTAACCTCTGGGCTATACTGAAGGAGTAAGGAGTGGTGGCCTCTGGATTCTAGTCCTGGCTCTAACTCACTGTGTCTCTTTCAGCCTCAGTTGCCTTCTCCTAAGGTGAGAGCAGGGAGTGGGAGGATTGTCTTGAAGTTCACCCCTATCCCCAGTCTGGACCCTCATGGGTTTGACGCAGTCTTCCAGCCCCTAACACCTTCCTGACATGCGTGTGCGCATAGATGCACAGACATCTTGGCACTGTGGCCTACTCTGACCTGCCAGTGTAGGGTGCTGATCTCCTGGGTCCTCCCCCAGCATGGCACCCTGTTAGAATTGCCTATGGACTTGTCTGCCTACTGTGCTAGAAGTAAATTCACAGAGTCTGTGATCTCTTGCATACCATTGTGTCTCCAGCATCTACCACCACTATGTGCTGGGCACTCAATAAATATATGTAACATAACAGCAAGACATGGTGGCTCATGCCTGAAATCCCACTACTTTGGGTGGCCGAAGTGGGAGAATCCCTTGAGGCCAGGAGTTCGAGACCAGCCTAGGCAACATAGCAAGACCCTGTCTCCACAAAAAATAAAAAAATTAATTAGACATGGTGCATGCCTGTAGTCCCAGCTACTTGAGAAGCTGAGGCAGGAGGATCGCTTGAGCCAAAAAAAAAATAGTAGCTGTAAACATATATAGCATCTTGATGCAAGGCAAGGGGAAGGCAAGACTGTCTACACAAGGCCCCTCCTGCCCTCATGAGGACTTAGGACATCCCTGCTCACAGGGCGTCCGAATGTCTGTGCAGTGTGTGAGGCTTGCTGTTGAGAGTAGCTGGGACATCTGCATTCAGCAGATGGGTGTGAGGCAGGGGTGGGGAACCTTTTCATATTGGAAGGCCACATTAATTTAGCTGTAATCAAATAAGGCTACATTCAAGAAACTTCAATTAGATATACTTAAAAATGTACATTATTTTGTAAAAATCTAACTATGTACTTAATAATTTCAAAAATTGAAAACTATTTGTTAAAGTTAACTAACCTTTTAATGATTTTGTTGTGTCCGCTTTCTGTTGGAAAGCGTTTGAATATTTGTTTGCAGCATGAAGAAGGTCGGCAGTTTCATTTGATCCTCAGTCATTTGTGAGCTTAAGGGGATCTTTTTTTTTTTTTTTTTTTGAGACAGAGTCTCACTTTGTTGCCCAGGCTAGAGTGAGTTCCGTGGCATCAAGCGATCCTCCTGCCTCAGCCTCCCAAGTAGCTGGGACTACAGGCATGTGCCACCATGTCCAGCTAATTTAAGTATATATATTTGTATATATATTTTTAGTTGGTCAATTAATTTCTTTCTATTTTTAGTAGAGACAGGGTCTTGCTCAGGCTGGTTTCGAACTCCTGACCTTGAGCAATCCTCCCACCTCAGCCTCCCAGAGTGCTAGGATTACAGGCGTGAGCCACCACGCCCGGCCTTAAGGGCATCTTGATTTGGGTTAGGTAGGAGAATGTAGATTCACAGCAATAGTGGTTGAAAAGCAAGAAAGCATTTTTCAGGGATGTTGCTGAAGGTGTGGGTTTTCGACTGCATTTTTTCATATTTCAATTGGATCTTTCTTAGCATCAAACAATGACTTTAAAATGTCATCTGTGGCCAGGCGTGGTTGGTCACGTCTGTAATCTTAGCACTCTGGGAGGCCGAGGTGGGAGGATTACTTGAAATCAGGAGTTTGAGACCTGGCTGAGCAAGAGCAAGACCCCATCTCTACTAAAAATAAAAAGAAATTAGCTGGACAGCTAAGAATACATAGAAAAAATTAGCTGGGCATGGTAGTACATGCCTGTAGTCCCAGTTGCTTGGGAGGCTGAGGCAGGAGTATCACTTGAGCCCAGGAATTTGAGGTTGTTGTAAGCTAGGCTGACGCCATGGCATTCTAGCCCGGGTAATAGAGCTGTCCCAAATAAATGAATGAATGAATGGATGAATGAATGAATGGTCATCTACTGAGAGCTCAATCTATTGTATCTGTAGTTCTTTAGGTATCTTGGTGATAACAATTAGGTGAGACTGAAATGCTATTTTGAATGTGATGTCACGATTCTCAGAGTTAGTGAACCTTTCATTGTATTCTCCAATTAATAGTTCTATAACAGCTGTGTATTCTTCAAGTGATCTGCATGTATCATCCTGTTCATCAGTGAACTTTGCTAACTGGGGGAAATGTTCGTCCAAAATTTCCTTTTAAAGAAGTGTTTTGAAAAAAGATAGCTTTTTTTGAAATGCATGGATTTTTTTTGCCACATATCATATATAGACTTAGTTTTACCTTGCAAAGAAATATTCAAATCCTTTAGATTTGACTTGTCACCTGGAAATCCTACATTTCTATAGAAATCTTTAAATAATTCATATTGCTGATTCTATTCTTCATAAAATTTAATTATTCTTAGATAAAATTTTGGCTAACACCTGTCCCTGTAATTAGACAATGCACTTTAGAATGATAGGGCAAATATGAATACTTCACCGTTCAACTTTAGCATGTTACAAAACTGAGGATACCATGTTGCATTTGCACAAATACAGTTAAAAATACTTATAACTTGTTTCAAAGTGTCACTTTAAAAGCTTTAGCACAGAGATTTTGCTGAGGCAAGATACAGTGAAAAGAAATTAGAGCATCTGGATCTGTTAATACTTATTTTTGTCTGTGCAATAAACCCTTCATGTTTTCCTCTCATGGAAGGTGCACTGTCTGTACATACACACACTCACTAAATTTACCAAATTCAGTCCAGCTTCACAACATTTATCTTCAAAGCTGTTGAAGCTATCTATTCCCCATGTTCTGTTCCTAAGAGTCCCCAAAGTGAGTAACTCTTCATAGCAAAGAAAATCTTTATGACCTGAATGAAGTATAAAACCTGCACCAAGTCAATAGTATCAGTTGATTCATCCAAAGCAATTGAATAATATATATTTTCCTTTTGAAGTATTGCGTGAAGTTGCTCTGTTAAGTTGAAGGCTAATTCATGCTGCTGATTGGTTATGGTTCTCCCTGAAAGAGGCAGTTGTTTGTACTTTGAAATGTTATCAGGATCTAAGCATCCTACAAATTCGAGGATACATTCTTTCACAATTTCTACATCACTGAATGGCTTCCCTTTTTTCCTGAATATATAAGCTACTTTATAAATTGCTTCAGTGACATTATTTCCAGGTCTTATTGCTGCTTGAAAGAATTATCTTTGCTTTTGCTTTTCATCTTTGAATTTCTGCGATATAATCTTTTGCACTTCTCCCTCTAATTTAAAATATTTGTGGTCCTTATGAGTGTTATAATTGAGCGTTGAATTTCTTTAATGTTGATATTGCAGTATCACAAAGCAAGCAAATCATTTTTAGCAGAAACAAGGTAATATTGCAGTTCTCAATCCTCATTAAAAAAATCTGTTTTCTGTTTCCTTCGGTGTTCTTTTGGTCTTCTTTGACATAATTCAATCTGCTAAGCAGATAGAATTAAAAAATACTGTCAAGCTGTGCAACTATTCACATATTCCACTTCAAACAGAAACACAGTGCACTGTTGTCAAAAGCTGATAACAGACTGGCATACTTGACCCCCATAAACTCTGGCCAACCAGCCTGTGGTAGTGGTGCCAGTCAGTTGGGGGAAGTTAGAACTAAATCATGAGTATAGCGGCCATCAATTTAGCCCCTGTGGGTTACTAATGTTCTAATTGTGTCAGTCATTCTGGGAGGATTATTTTGTTGAAACTTATTTTATTCTTTAATATGTTAAATACATTCATTTTAAAAATAAAAATATAAAAGACAAATACAAATATGTTAATAAAAATAAAAGGATTTGTTCTGGCCAGGCGCAGGACTCACACCTGTAATCCTAGCACTCTTGGAGGCCGAGGCAGGCGGATTGCTTGAGGTCAGGAGTTCGAAACCAGCCTGAGCAAAAGCAAGACCCCGTCTCTACTATAAATACAAAGAAATTAATTGGCCAACTAATATATATATATGGAAAAAATTAGCCGGGCATGGTGGCACATGCCTGTAGTCCCAGCTACTCGGGAGACTGAGAGAGGAGGACTGCTAGAGCCCAGGAGTTTGAGGTTGCTGTGAGCTAGGCTGATGCCACGGCACTCACTCTAGCTTGGGCAACAAAGCGAGACTCTGTCTCAAAAAAAAAAGAAAAAAAGGATTTGTTCTATAAAGTTTAGATTCAGTCAAAGGCCACTTAGAGACCTCGAAGTCCACATGTGGCCTTAAGGCCGCAGTCTCCCCACCTCTGCATTAGACCACTACCTATACATACCCTTGTCGTCCACCCAGCTGCTGCTCTAGCACATGGGAAGTGCCCACAATTGT